AGCAGGAGTAGTGGGTAGTCCAGCCTCATTCACCTTGAGCGTGCTCTGGCCAGACCCCTGTTTTGTTCTTTACTTTTAAATAGGAATTGTTCTTTTAAGACCACAATATGGGTACTAGGGGTGCTCATTGCTACTGAGTTGGTTATTGTTTCTATGCTTTTTAGTAGACATAGCAAGAATATGTATGTGTGTGTGTGTATATATATATTTATATATATAAGATGCCTCGTGAGTTTATAGTGATATTTCCAGTTCAGATTCAGTACTGCACAGTTTTTACTTAACCTTTTCTATATTAGGTCACATATCCTTTCTTCTACTCCAGGAATCCTGCTTATTAGGCTTTATCCTTCTTTACGCAGGTACCCATCTCAGAATAACAATAGTATATACCACCGTCATCAATTCTGATTACTGAAAACAGTTTAAAAAATTGTTTTGCCTGTGCTATCTCCTTTCTCCCCCTATTTTTAAAATAGTTGTACTATATCTACAGTGTCAAAACAGTTGACTATTACATTCTCTGTCCTCTCTCTTTTAAACCATCTTAGTTCTCAAGCAACTGTCTAGTTGATGCTCACCATCAGTCCTTATGTCAGTGTCTCCCCAGTCTCTTCGGTTGTCTGAAACATGTTCTCTAGTAAGTTCTTCAGGAACAATATTCCTTAACTTTTGCATGTTTATGATAGTTCCTTTGTGTTCTTTATACTTGAAGGCCAGTTTTCCTTGCTATAAAATTCTTGGCTCCCCGTTTCTTTCCTTGAATATCTTAAACATGTTATTCCCATTTTCTTCTGTCAGAAAGCATTGCTGTCAAAATCTTATCATAATTTTATTTTCCTTATATGTCAGATGCTCTTTTGTTTGCATAGGTGTCAAAGGATTTATTTTTCCTTTTCAGTCTGGTAATTTTATTAGTGTGTGTCTTAGTGTTGGTCATTCTGAGTTAAGATCCTTAGGTACTTGGTGTACATTTTCAATATATACTTTCAAATTTGTGTTTATTTTTTAATTTCAAGAAAATTTTCTCTTTTTAAAATTTATTTTTTATTGAGGTAACATCATGTAAATTTCAGGTATACATTATTATATTTCAACTTCTGTATAGACTACATCATTCATCACCAAAAGTCTTATTTCCATCTGTCAGGGTACAAATGTGCCCCTTTAGCCTTCTCCCCACTCCCCTTGCCCTCTGGTAACCAACAATCTATTTTCTGTATCTATGTGTGTGTTTATCTTCCACGTATGTGTGAAATCACACTGTATTTGTCTTTCTCCATCTGACTTATGTTGCTTAGCATAATACCCTCAAGGTCCATCCATGTTGTCACAAATGGCAAGATTCCATCCTTTTTTATGCTGAGTAGTATTCCATTGCACGTAAGTACCACATCTTCTTTATCCATTCATCTGTTGGTGGGCACTTAGGTTGTTTCCAAGCCCTGGCTATTGTGAATAATGCTGCAATGAACCTAAGGGTGCATATATCTTCTTGAATTAGTACCCAGAAGTGGAATAGCTAGATCATATGGTAGTTCTGTATTTAATTTTTTGAGGAATCTCCATACTGTTTTCCATCGTGGCTGCACCACTTTGCAATCCCACCAGCAGTGTATGAGAGTTCCCTTTTCTCCACATCCTCTCCAACACTTGTTATTCCTCATCTTTTTAATAATAGCTGTTTGGATAGGAGTGAGGTGATACCTCATTGTGGTTTTGATTTGCATTTCCCTAATAATTAGTGATGTTGCGCATCTTTCAAGAAAATTTTCTTGAAGATAGTTTTTCCTTTTGCTTTGTTCCCCCCCTCCACCAAGACTCCTATATATCTGTTTCTTGGTTCTTCTTTGCCTATCTTCAATATTTGTCACTTTCTCTCAAATCCTTTATATCGTCTTCATTTCTTTTTGACTTTTAAACTTAATCTCCTTTTCAATTTCTGTGTCTCTCAAGGCATTATTCATCGTGTTTAATTATCCTCGTGTTCTTTATTGCTTAGCCTTCATTTCTAAAATGACTTTTTCTTTTACCTCTAATTCCTTTTATATTATTCTTTCATGTCTTATTTTCTTAGTATCTTTTAGTTCTTTTTGAAATAGTTTTTGTAGATTTGATCCTTCTAAAACCAATTTGAGAACGTCTTTCTGATGTGAATAGTCTGCAGAGATATTTTCCTTATTCTCTTTATCTTAACGGTAAGTTTGTATGGATCTGACTGCTGGGCTTTTTCTGTTGCTCATTTTGATGTGCAATCGGTTTTCCTGAACTTTTGGAAAGAAACTTGGTTCAGATAGCTTTTATAACTTCATAGAGCTTCCTCTTCTCTTTTACTTATTTATTTTTTTAAATATAGTATTAAAAAAAACGGCGGCTTGCTTTCAGAGATTTCCTGGCTTCTTTCCCCTTCCCCACTTTTATTGGACTTTTTCTTTTCTTCATCTCTGTTATCCTTATCCCACTCCATTTTGATTCCACTCCCAGGAGTTCCTCCTCACGTGGGGCCCTGTCCAGGAAGGGACCCCAGGAGATCAGACTGGCGAATTCACCAGAGCTGGGGTTGTACTCATCTGCCGTAGGAGCAGACAGGATCCTTCCCAGTGTTGACCTCTGTTAAAATTCAAGGATTCTGTGAACACCTGTTGGCTATTTTGAGATTCTCCTATTCTGGGGTCTGTCAGATGCCCGATTGTTCCTCCATGCTTCCTCCCAGATGGACGCTGATCGCATGCAGGGCTTGTGGCTGGAGGTGATTTGTCTCCGCTCCTGTATATTTTGCAGTTCATGGTTGTGTCATGTCCCTCAGTTTTGTTACAAATGTCATCCATGAGATTTCAGTTTTACTATGTCTTTGCTTTGTCAGGTTTTTGGTCTATTTCTTCTCGTTTGCTCCCTCTTTAGTTACCCAAGCAGACACTAGGAGGTCATTTTCAGCTCTCCCTTTCATTCGCTTTCACATTTTGGTTCACTTCTTTGTCCTTAACATTTCTCAAATCTGCCCACTTCTCCCCATCTTCATTGCCGTGATATTAGGCCAGACCAGATTCTCATAACTTCTCTGCCATGCTACAAAGTCTCAGAACTTGATTTCTCTGCTTCCGGTCTAGCCATTTTCTACACTGGAGCTGGAATAGATCTTTTTAAAATGCAAATCTGGTCTTGACCCTTCTTGCTTGAAAGCTTTCAGTGGTGTCCCGTAGTTGCAGGAGAAGCTGAGGCCCTTTAGCATAAGCCACAAGGCCTCTCAGAGCTGGCTCTTCCTCCATCATCAGCCTCTTCTCTCTCCTCTTCCCCCCTGCAGTTCTCCATTCTGTCTTGCAGGAACTACTTGCAGTAAGTTCTCCAAAGATACCACGGCTCCATCTCACTTCTAGAGCTTTGTCTGTGGTATTCTTCTCCCTGTCCAGCCTCTTTGTTGGAAAGTGAAATTGAGGAATGCCTGAACCATTATTTTTTGAGAAACAACACAACAATTTATATTTATATATTTTTTAAAAGATTGGCACCTGAGCTAACAACTGTTGCCAATCTTCTTTTTTTTAATTTTTCTTTCTGCTTTTTCTCCCCAAATCCCCCCAGTACATAGTTGTATATATTTTTTTTTCAGTTGTGGGTCCTTCTAGTTGTGGCACGTGGGACGCCTCCTCAGCATGGCCTGACGAGCAGTGCCATGTCTGCACCCAGGATCCAAACCAGCAAAACCCCGGGCTGCCGAAACGGAGTGCGCGAACTTAACCACTCGGCCAAGGGGCCGGCCCCAACAATTTATATTTTTGAAAGAAATGTGTAGTTCACCAGAATTTGTTATAAAATGTGCTGTATTTCCTAATGTTCTTGACAGCTTTTTTCTCACTTTTCACAGAGGAAAATCCTAGACTGCTATACTTGGAGTATTCTGTTTCTTTTTGTGAGATAATGAACTTGAATTTATTAAATATAAATATATAACTATAAATGTGAATAAGTATTTAAGTAAAATGCAGTGATTTTTAAGTGCCTTTGAAATAAAACAAAATGTATTTGGTTTTACAGTAAAATGATTTCCCTGTACAATTTTAAGCTCTATCAAAAATCCAAATAGCTGCCTTTATAAGAATAAGGCATCTAACAAAAACCAAGACATCTTCAGTGATTCACATCACGTCACCTGCCAAGAAAGCATGACAGGTTCGTCATCTGAATACATCTAGGGTGGAATTACAAATGAGAACTTCTCAGGGAAACCACTTGGGGGCGCTGTGGTCGTCATAGAAGAGTGATTCTAGATGGTGTTATTGCGACTTGTGGTCGTGCGACATGTGTCGTGCTCTAAGAAGCAGACCTCCTAGAACTTCTTGTTTCGGGTCTGCACTGAGGGGGGGGGGGCCAATGGGAAGAGGAAAGGTCAAAAAGCTGCTCCCCTCCACTGCCTTCACCACCTCCCTGCCAGCAGCACACACACACACACACCAGGGCGTGTAAAATTCACAGACCCTGACTGTGTCCTCAAGAGCCAACCCAGAGGGACCTGATTCAATCCTCCCGCTGAGAAAGTAAGGACAGAGATTCCCAGTATAAAATGGCAACCAGAATTAAATGAGAAAGCTAGCAATTCACTTAAAAAGGAACAGGAAACCTGACAGGGAAATAATTTGAGAAGCAAAAGATAAAATATTAGCTTAAAGTTAAAAAGACCTAAACCACTCAGGTGGATTAAAGAATAGTGATCTTGAAGACAAGATGCTAAACAAGAAGAAAAATGCTTGAAAGTGTCAACATGGACAAATGAGACTTGGAGGCCTCTGGTGGAATATATGAGATGGTGAGCGCATGCTTCTTGCATGCAGTGCTGGTGTTAGGCTGTGAGATTACAGGGGAAGCGTCTCTTTGTATACAGAGCAATGTGGCCAATACAGAATGTGCTTTTAGCTGTGACTCTGGTTTCAGGTGCCAGCCTCAGCTTTCCTGACCACCCCATCATGCAGCCCTCCTCATGCTGCTTTACTTATCCCTTTCCTTAGGAGTACGAGACCCAGTCTAGTGCAGAAGCCAGATTTGTGAAGCAGTTAGACCAGTGTGAGATGATTCTTCAGGCGTCTGAGTATGAAGACCTTGAGAACAAACCTGGGAGACTGCAGGACTTCTATGATTCCACGGCAGGTACTCAGTGCTATTGTCAACAAGCGTGCATTTTAATTCGGCTTACTCTTAGTCTAGAGAATAACGTTATATTCGTGAAATCCTCTGTTGTTAACGTCTTCTGACCCTTTCCTATGGAGCATCTAAAAAGACAGTTGTGGGATTCATGGTGAGAGGCAGCCTGGTGCATGAGAGCATTGCCGCCCTGGAGCACCAGGTTGACATTCTGCCTCTGCCACCTGCTAACAGTATGTGCCCCCCAGCAATCTCCTGACCTCTCAGAATCTGTGTCCTCTCTGAAATCTTGGAATCGTAATACTCATCCTAAGTCATAGGTTGGTTTTGAGATTCAGGAGAGAGAATGTATGTGAAAGTGCTTTGTAATTTGTAAGTGCTTTATAGATGTAAGGTCACGTGAGATGGAGGTAGAAATAAAGATTTAAAAAGGAAAATTGCAAACAGCTGAAGTCCCCATCATCGGTATAGCACTTCATAGCCCGGACCTGGAGTCAAACTGCTTGGGTTTGAATCCTGGTTCCGCCACATACAATCTGTGTAACCTCCAGTAAATTACTCAAACTCTCCAGGCCTCGGTCTCCTTGTCTTTAAAATGAGGGTGGTTACAGACTCTGCTTTATAGAGCTGTTTGAGGATGTAGTGGGTCAGTTCTCATGAAGTGCGCAGAATAATAGTTGGCAGAAAGCCTTAGCTATCTTCGTTTTGATAGGGTTCCCAGACTGAGGAGCTAAGTAAGCAGAAGTGTTAGTGATGGCTGGCGTTCATGTCGCTCCTGGGAGTAAAACTTCCTCTCTTCCCCGAGGACTCCTCAGGCTCAGCTCAGCCTCCATCTCCCTGGAGAGTGCTTTTAGAGAGAGCCTTTCTGGGACCTCAGGCCCCTCACGTGGCCTCACCAAACAGAGGAAGGTCCCAGCTCACACACTATGTCCTAAGATAGGATTTGTGTTATGTGAAGTTGATTCAGTTTTTCTTCTCTCTTTTCCAGCCCCACTACCTCGGCCCTAGACAAGACCTCATTATTTCTCCATCAGACTGTTGTTACAACCTCCTAACTTAACCTGCCAGGCTGGCTAGTTCATCCCGCACGTCTCATTTTTTTCCTTCTTTGTAGATCTAGGTATCATCACGTCTTTGTTTTAAAAACTTTTGTGGCTTTCCTCTTTCTAAAGAATAAAATCCTGACACTTTTGAGTGGCCTGAAAATCTCTCCCGTCTAAGGCCACTCATCTCTCTGGTCTCCTTTCCTAACCTTGCTTCCTAACCTAACCTAACCTGTCCAAATTAAGCATTCTTTGGTCTAGAGCTTGCCATAGTACTGTCACTATCTGACTTGCATTCTCCTGAGTGATGTTCCTCTCTAATGGGTTCTCTTCCCAAAACCCCATTTGCTCACCCTACCAAATAGTAAGCTGTCTGAGGACCAAGACCAGCTTTGTCTCGTCCATCTTTGATAGGTATAGGCAGTGGTCAGAAATGTTTAACGTTAGTTAAAGAGAATAACATTGTAAATCAGAGGTCCGCAAACTATGGCCTGTGGGCCAAATTGGCCTGCTGCCTGTTTGTGTAAATAAAGTTTTATTGAAATGGCGACGCCCATTCTTTGTGCATCGGCTCTGCTGCTTTTTCACTACGACAGCAGAGTTGAGTAGTTGCAACAGAGACCATATAACTCACGAAGCCTAAGATATTTACTATCCGCCTCTTTACGGAAAAGTTTTGCCAACCCATGTTATAAGCAATGACTGGGTTCTGAGATAGCATATTTCACTTAAAATGTAAGTTTATGTGGTTCTTTGTACTATTATCTTCTACCTTGATACATTTACAATGAAAAATAGAAAATGAAACATGAGAATAGTAGTAGGATAAAAAACATGGGAGCTGGAAGGGTCATCTAGTTTAAACTACACATTTTATTGAAGAAGAAACTGAAGCCCAGAAAGATGGTGACTTGCCCATAGCTGAGTTGAAATTAAAATTCACCGCACTTTCTACTCTGGTGCACTGCTTCTGTTAAGAAATTAATAAATAAAAATAATATAACTGATGTAGGAAGTCATTTCTCACTTATCTCAATAACTAATGCCTGAAGGAAAAAGAAGAAACAAGTTTAATTAGAGGTGAAGATGTGGACTGCGACCGTAATGAGGATTTTGAAGGGGACTTTGGGCTTTGGTTTGATAACACTTATATTCTTATTTCTCTGATTCAGTCATAACTTGATGTTCTCTTTTTCTTTCTTTTCTTTTGGACACCTTGTGTGTTGAGGAACAGCATGGAGGCCAGTGTGGCTAGTGGGGGTAGATGAGAGGAGAGGGTGGGAAATAAGCGCAGAGAAGTGGGCTGAGGCCCATATGGCCTTGAGGCCTGCGCAGGACATTGGCTTGTGCCTGCGTGAGATGAGGAGTCCTTGGAGGAGGTGGAGCACAGAACCGATGTGATCTGACTTTGTGTTTTGAAAGTGTCACTAGGGTTGGAAGCAGGGAACCAGTTGGGGGCTATGGCAGTTTCACAGCGAGAAAGATGGTGGTTTGGACCAGGGTGGTAGTGGTAGAGGAAGTAAGAAGTGGTCAGATTCTGGATGTATTTTGAATGAGGAATCCAAGGATTTTGGCTTGGGCAACTGGAAGAATGGAGTTGCCATTAGTTGGGGAAGACAGGGGAAGAATTGATTTGGGGGAAGAAAATCAGGGGTCCCAGAAGCTGAAGGAAGAAAGTGTTTCAAGAGGGAAGGAGTAGCCATCAGATTTAGCAGCATGGAGCTGAGTGGTGTCCTCAGTAAGAGCAGTTTTGGTGGAACAGTGGTAGTAAAAGCCTGATTGAAGTGTGTTCAAGAGATGATGAGAGCAAAGGATTGAGAGACAGTGAGTATAAACTATCCTTTTGAGAATTTGCTTAAAGGGCAGCAGATAAGTGGGGCTGTAAGCTAGAGAGGGATGCATGGTCAAGTGAGGGTGGGTTTGTTAAGATGGAATTTAAAAGAGCTTGTTTATATGCTGATAGAAATAGTCAGAGAAAGAAAGGGGAGAGAATTGCTGAGTTGGAATGTAATGCACAAGTGGAGAGGTGAGTGGGGGAAGTTCATCCTCAGTAACAATTATTAGTAGTGATGAATTCCAGGGTGTGCCTGTGGGAGGAGTGACTGAGGTGGGGGCACAGAGAGAGCATTTCTATAGGAGAGGAGGTGACAGAATGGAGAGGCCGGATTATTGGAAGGATCATATATGTGAGCATTGAAATCAAGAATTAACAGTGGGTGGCGTTAAAGAGAATTGACGATGAACTTGAAGCTAGAATTTTCCAGGCATGAAGACTTGAGGTTCTAAGATGTTTATAACCAGGAGGGGCAGTGAGTGGTTAAAGGGGTTCTGGTCACCCAATTTCCAACACAGGGTTGGGGGGGGGGTCCCTCTACATTACCAAGCATTCTCAGACACCAGCTGGGTGTCCTACAATCCAACTAAAGTCTGACACTATCTACCGGGAGATGGCCTCAGATGCCACCCAGGCCCACAAGACTGCTCTCCACTTCACATGCCAGTTTGCAAGCCCAGGTTGTCACATGTGTATGTTGAAGGTTCCAATGGCCCCGTCCTTTGGTCACAAGTTAAGGGCTCAGTCCCACAAGACTACCACCCCCTGCCCAACACACACACACACACACACACACTTCATATGCCCATTGCAAGTCCAGATTGCCACTTATTCTTCTGACCTAATGGCTATAAACCAGAGGTTCCCAGGACCCCCTCCTTGGGTTCCACTAATTTGCCAGAGCAGCTCACAGAACTCACGGAAACGTTTTGCTTAACTGAATTACCAGTTTATTATAAAAGGATGTAACTCAGGAACAGCCAGATGGAAGAGATGCACGGGGCAAGGTATGGGGAAAGGGCATGGACCTTCCATGCCCTCTCCAAGCGCCACTCTCCTCAAACTTCCACGTGTTCACTAACAGGAAGCTCTCCAAACCCAGTCCTTTTGGGGTTTTATGGAGTTTTCATTACTGAGACATGATTGATTAAAATCGTTGGTCATTGGCAAGTTTCAGCCTCCAGCTCATTTGCCCTCCCCAGAGGTCAACGGGTGGGACTGAAAAGTCCAGCCCACCAATCTTGGGGTTGGGTCCTCTGGCAACCACTCCTAGGGGCATTCCAAAAGTCACCTCATGAACATGGCAAAAGACACCTTTATCGCTCTCACCACATAGGAAATTCCAAGGTTTTAGAAGCTCTGTGCTAAAATGCAGACTAAGACCAAATATATATTTCTTATTAAGACTCCCAGTGTCACAGTGGTATAGTCTGACAGCATGACCTTTACTGAGAGAGGCAGAGGGTGGCCTGGAAGCAGTGAAGAGCATGGCAGACAGGCCCAGGCCTGGTGGTAAGAGCTATGTGAGAGAGAAAACAGCCACCACGTGAGAGGGCTGCAGGGAAACTGTCCTCATGACAAGCCGGGTGTCCGGGCGAGAAAGTGAAGGAAGATTCAGAGAAGAGGGTGAGCATGGGAACGAAATGGAATAGAGTTTACTGTGGAATGAACAGTAAGCCGCAAAAGCCTGGCAAGAACAGACAGACAGGCAAGACATGCGGGTTTAACAGTCCCGGTGCCAGCCACCAGCCACCTAAGACAGCTTGGAGCTTGGTTGGAAATCCGGGACGGGCAGAGACAGCAGCACAGATCTGCCGGTTTCAGTGTAAAGGTGTTTGCAAGAGACGTTTGCCTTCCTGTTTGCCTCCTGGGAGAGCCGAGACCCCAGGTCTTCCTGCTGGTCTTTTCATATGTAGGTGCTTTGTTCCCCTTGTTTAACTGCAAGTTTGGCATGGGCAGGGAGGTCGTCAGCAATCTGGGTCTGTTCTACCTGAGTTTCCCAGTAAATTCCTGGTAGAGGCATTCAAGGACTGCCTGGTGGAATTTCCCCCAGCGCTGCCTAATCAACAGTTCCTTACTCAGTGGCATTTGGGGTGACAGAGAATAGGTCCCCTTGGGCCCCTCTCCAGGACCTGGGCTTTCGTTCTTCTGCGTTGGAGTAGAGTGTGGGTTAGATCCCAGAATCGAGCCCCTGACACACCCTGTGATCAAGCTAGGGAAACTGATGTATTCTCTTGTTACCACACAACATTGGGGGTCTCTTGCCCGATGTGCATAAAAAATGCTAATTATTACAGCGTCAGCTTTTGGGAAAAGAAATGTGGCTTTATTTTGTGAGATCAATTGGCAAGGAGACGGGAGCGTGTGCCCTCAGATCTGTCTCCCTGATCCAGGGCTTGGGGCACAATTGATGGGCTGAAGGGCAGAGTGTCTGAAGTGTGGAGATAGATGATTGGAAGTAAGAAGTGAGGTAACTGTTGATCTGTGCAGGCATATAGTCAAGCTTCATTCCGCTTCATAGGACACACGGTCACAAAATGGCCGTGTCACTGTGGTCTGAGGGTGGAGTTTTTAGCTCCTTGACTCCAGAAAGGTCATTTATCAAGCATTTGCACAGGCCCAGTTGATGGGTTGGTGGCCTCAACTGGCCTGAACTGGACAAGGGGTCTCAGTTCCTGAAAGACAACTCTTAATTACTCTGTTGATAAGATGGGGTCAGTTGAACTGATCCGGGAGGGCCTGCGGTTTACATTGTCAGTGTCTTTTCCCCTGTCTTTTGCTTTGCAGGAAAATTCAGTCACCCTGAGATAGTCCAGCTTGTTTCTGAACTCGAGGCGGAAAGAAACGCTAACATTGCTGCCACCACCAGTGAGCCGCACTCCTGAGATAGTCTCTAAGTTGCTTCACTCCTGTAACAAACATTTTACTTTTCTGTTTCATGTCACTGTGTTTTGCCACCATCAGGCTGTTGATTTCCCCAGATGTGAGTCTGTTTATTGTCAGTTGTCTGGACTCCAGCAAAAAACCTGATACCATTTGGGTGGCGAAAGAAGCTACAGAACAGGATGTGGTCACGACAATGCTATAGGTGAAGACTTGGGGTAACGGGCATGCCTTTTTGTGAACTAAATAAATAAATTTTAAAAACCTTATATTTTGGAATATTTATTTGGAGATTTTAAATTATCTTCTTCTGAATTAATAACTTACATCCCTGAAGGCCAGATTCATTGAACCATAGAAAATTTAATTATGATTGCTTTTAAGAACAGACTCTTCAGCTGAGTTAGTGACAAGGATCCAGGAAAAAGAGTGTAATGCATTCGCTCCTTGGATGAAATGCTGCTTTCTTCAGATGATCACTGTCAGGAGCCAGGTTTTTAATTTCACTGTGACCTGCTTTAGGTCCCCATGTCAGACTCGTTCCCACCTAACAGGTTCCCCCCTCCTCTAATCCTTTGTTTCATTTGGGGATATAAATTGAGGCATGCAATTTCAAATGTCACTTGTCTTCCTTTGTGTATTTTTCCCTGTCTGATTTACAAATCTTCAGACCATGATTACAAGAAGATTTATCATCAGGTGAGAAATATAGAAGAAAATGAATATTGCTGGGGTCACTGGATTTTATGTAGGAAACACGTCAGACCCGGGTTCTTCCCCTCATTTTCTTCCCATCAATAAGTAATCCTCGCCGCTTGCCTTTAAATGCCGCACACCCATTGAATGGTGGGGAAAAGAAGGCCCTCCGAGCAAACCTGCCCAGTGGTTTGGTGTGGAACAATGTTGCCTGGCCCTTTAATTCCAGTGTCAGTTTCCATTTGAAGAAGGCCTGTTCGGTTGGCATGGGGAGAATGCTAGGCAGCAGCGTTTCTTTGGAAACTCTTCGCAGTCTCCATGGATACCCAATCTGCAGGAAGCGAGGTGCCTGATCTTTTCAGAAGCAGACACACGTGTACATAGAGCTGCTCTGCATTGAAAAGAGCAAGGCTGCTCTGCGCTGAAACACTGTTGCATCTTAGCAACGGTACAGCCTGTACATTTGAAAATCAGCAAAGTCTGATTATTACTGGAGATACACTTAGTAGGAAAACAGAACTCCACCTATCAGTATTTTGGAGTTTTTTCTCCTGGCACGAAAACATGCACAGAAAATAACCACAGGTAAAGTTCCAATAGTTATAACCAGAAGATATTCTGTGGCCCTGGAGTTTTATTTGGGATGTTTTGCCTACTGTAATTTTCATAAATTCACAGAGAGACTTTGGAAGTCCCTACTGCGTCAGACTTAATACTGGTCACTTCCTCATCATCTCAGGTTTCTATTTACCTACCAAGTCAGGGTTCATGCTTAGTCCTAAACTTCACTTGCTGTGGTAATACATTTAACAACCAAGAAAATGTAATGATGCTATAAATAAAATACCATTTAATAAGAACAAACAAAGGTCAATAAAAGAAGATAACTATTGGGCCAGCCTGTGGCCTAGTGGTTAAGTTCAGCATGCTACACTTCAGCAGCTCAGGTTTTGGTTCCCAGGTACAGACCTACACCTCTGCTCAGCAGCCACGCTGCGGTGGCGACCCACATACAAAATAGAGGAAGATTGGCAACAGATGTTAGCTCAGGGCCAATCTTCCTCAGAAAAAGAAAAAAAAAAAGCTATTGAATTTACCAGCCAATATAAAAATATTTAAGCATTAGCACTTAAAATTTTTTTTTTCTTGGAAGATATCTGCTGCTTGCCTGGAATTGGTCTTCTCAATAACAAACGCCATAATCATGATGCAGAGTAAATAATTATTCTTGGGGTGAACTCAACAAAAAGGAATTCCTGGTTACCTCCTTGTAATGGAGAGGTGTGGAGGAGAGGGTGGAAGGCTAAGGCTGCAGGGGACACACCTCAAGCCAGTTCGCCCTGCCTGGTCCCTGGGGAAGACTAGGGTGGGGATATGGGGATTCCCCAAAAACAAGTCCTTGTTTTTCCCTTGTGGACTGGCATTTAATCAGCTGTTCCATAATTTTCAATGCCCTCGTATTTGAAAAATGTCCATTTTAACAAAATGTCCAACCTGTTCATTTCAAAGTCTCGTGGTGCTCTATGCTCTGGGGTAAATGACTGATGAAGCACCTTGTGAAAAAGCATCCTCTGTACCCAGCATCTTTCTCTAAGACATTTGCCAGTCTGCATGTTCAAAGTTACATTGGGGATGATTTCTCTGGGAGATTTAGGATTATGTTATTTTTGGTTTTCCTGGATATATACTCTCATGGTATGAACTAAAAGTCAAATAGAAATGTAGAATAAAGGATTTTACCCTTCTTAAATAGAGATTATCAAAAGTAACCATAAGATTTTCCCAAATATTATAGTTTGAAACTGTATTTGAACATCAAGTTTGAAGAAGTTGCTTTACATTTCACATTAAATCACTTTTTAACCTTATCACCATCTTCCTGTCAAAACTGACTATAGTGGAGCCATTTTAAAATCAAGTTGGAGCTGCCTTTCCAGAGAAACTGTCTTGCTATCTTGAACCTTGGACTGGCCCAAAACAGCAACTGTTTTACAAGCAATTGTTTGAAAAGGCAGTGGGAGAACAAACATCCTGATCACAAAGACTGGAGATGGAGTCAATAGTCCATCAATATCTAACCAAGACTAGCTCTCTGCCTCCAACTCCAATTAAAATTCTTTATAATACAACCTCCCTTCTTTGCCTTTGAAGCCCTGGTGTTTTACTCCCTAGTGGGACACTATTTGGGTTTCTACCTGGTTCTGTGCTCCCCGAACTGCAATTCTGAGACTCCCCCAAATAAATTTTTTGCTTCTCTTGCAGTTTATGCCTTTTATTTGTTGACATTCCTTTATCAAACCCACCCACACTCCGATTTGATGATAGTGAGAGGAGAGTGTTAGAGTTGCGGTTCACAACTTTATGCACCATTTTATAATGAAGTTCAACAAGCTTCAAGCTAACAGGTAATTCTGGAACAATGAAGAGTGGCAGAGAGCAGCTTAAATTCCCAGTGTTCTCTTCACATTGACCACTGTGAATGGCGTGGCACATCAAGACATTCCATAATAAAGCACGCAGTTTGTTCTGTTTTCTATGGTTTGTGGAATTGAAAAAAGATGGAGTCTCTCATGTTAAGACCCTAAAATGGAGCCAGGAGGACATGAAGAGGAGAGGAAGAAATTCCTTCTTCAGAATGAACTCCTGAACTCATCAAATGCCTGAAATGCATCTGCATGTCTTCTCAAGGAAGATAAGATTATCGGGACAGAGACCTCATTCCTGTCAAGGTCACCGTCTATATTCCTAAATTTTCATGGCTTGTTTCAACCGACCCTCATCCCATGACTACCTTGGGCCTGGGATTTGGTGAGACCTTCCTTTCTCTTTTATTCTTTGCGTTTCTTAGCCATGACTATCAGGCCTTCCCTCTCCTTTCCAAGGCCGGAACACAATTCAGGTGCTACTTGAATCTGTGACCCAGGCTGCAGTGCTAAAAAACCCTGAGTAAACCTCTGTTTGTTTGAGTCTATGAGAGCCTACCTCACAATTGGTTGACAGGTTCAGGAGCAGATTTTTAAGAACGTGTAGTTTAGGGTAAGATGCAGATTGCTTGGCTGACATGATCTACCAATAATCATAGTCTTTATGAGATGTGAGTTTAAGATAAAGTAGCGGTGTAAATTTATGAATATTTTCAATCAAAGCAATAGTATCTAAAAAGCAGTAAATGGTTAAACTAGAGAATGAATTCCTTTTTTAAAAAGCAGGTATATTTTGTAATCACAATTCACATTGAAATTTTCGATTATTGAGATCCATTTTGTATTGACATCATTTTGTATACATGGTGTGGATCAGAAGTCATTTTGATTTGTTAGTACAAGGTTATGTCCATTGTGTGCAAAAACCTTTTAGCACTTGTGGAACAGGTTAAACTACTGTGTGTGAACTGAGCCCAGCTGGGCAGAATAGGGAGTGAGCAGCCACTCCAGTTGGGATGAGCTGGCACATGAGAAATGGGGGAGAAACAGGCAGCTCTTGAGTGACTAGGCAGTGAGGAAATGCAACCGCTGGGCTAAGACCACCCCCCTACCAACAACTGATTTAGTTATTATGCTCCATCAAGTGATGTGGCTTATTCACACACGTCTTATGACAAAATGAAAAAATACCCATGTCATTGTCATTATATCACTCCCAGATTAGAGTGAATAATTTTTTTAAAAACTTTTCAATTAATAGGGGTGGCATGAATATAGAATTTGAAATCAGAAGTTTTGAAGAATGGTTTAAAATAAACAACTAAAATATATTTGAAGCTTTGAAGCATTAACACTAATTTTCTTGATTCTTTCTCTATCCAATTTTAATACTGTGTTTTCAGATTGTAAGGCTGAGACTATTGTGTGCAGAAATTGGTTGGTGAATTAAGATATTTGTTTATAAAACCGTAACTCTGCTTTTCCTAATACAATGCAGTGTGCTGAGTGCTGTCAAAAAGAAGGTGGCAGTGAGTTTAGAAGAGGTGACCATTTCAGACGCACCAGGCAACTGCAGATTGGGTTCAGAGAGATTGGAACCGGTGCAGCAGCGGGCGAGCAACACAGTCACAAGCCAGTGGATGGGGTTTGGCTTCAACCAACAGGCTGGAAGGATAAATTAGGGAGAATGCCAACGTTCCCACTGGCAGGGCTTTGTTGTTCACAGTTGTCCATTCTGGTTCATGTTTACAGCCCCAAAGCGCTCTCTGCTAAGATTCCATGCCTCAGAGATGATGGCCCTGACCCAGTCTGATTTTCACTTAGGTGTGCAAATTGTCCTGCTCTATTACTTTGCATAGAATTTTCAGATTGGGGGTCACATATATCCACTTCTATTTAAGAATAAATTTAAAAATGAACAATGAACATACTAACAAGAATATATAAATATATATATTACGTGGATTATATACTTAAGTATTTATATTTGAATTGTGATTTTTTAGTTAGTACGTCTATTCTGTGTGCATTTAAGAAATGTATCTATAGGATGTAGCTTTGGTAGTTACAAATGTATATTCCTATTCAGAAGAAAAGAGAACCATATGATGTGGAAAGTAGGCGTTACCACAGAAATCTGATTGTGTTCATGCGATGCTTTTTTCATTCACGTGAGCAATTTGCAAACTGGAAGGGGGTGCAGACCTCTGCTTCTCGTTTTCTAGCCACCCCTTTTCCGACATCCCTTACCTACTTACTCAGTAGTTACCTGACTTAACTACTTCTCCACGTGGGTTAGAGAGAATTTTAGAATTGGAGATTATTTTAGCATCCTAGGGTGGCTAAGGTTATAATCACTTTCGGATCCACTCTCATGTTCACTAAATTCGCAGTGGAAGTTGATTTAAGATAGCGTCTTCAGAATCGTTAACTACCACGTTTTTAAGGTCATCAACAGCCCTGAGGAGTTAAAGAAATCAAGAATTCAAAGTCATCATTAAAGTCAATTATTTTAATTGCTTAAATAAACATACATAATTGATAGAGGTGAGGGGCGATCACAGGCAGGTTGATGAAATTTGCAGTCATCCCGTTGCTAGAGACGGTCGGTCGGAAAGAGCTCCCTCCCGTGGACCGACTCAACCGAGAGGGGGTACTCACTTAGCGCCCAAAGACATGCACATGGTAAAGGAGTCCAAGCAAACACCACAGCAAATAAGTAAGAGCTACAGGTTTGGAAGGTATGTTGAATTACACAAAGACAAGGGTCACGACCAATTGTGCACCTGCTCAAATCAGGACATTTTACAAGAGGACAGTCTGTGAAGACTGAAGTGGGATGGTCAAGCGGTCCATCATCAACACAAATACAAGTGGAAGTCATTTTATTAAACTTGGCGCGAGGCCAGTTGAAGAACAAGGTCAAGGCCTGGCTTTTCCCAGCGGGAGTCTGGTCTCCAGGTCGGGGGCGCGGGCCGGGGCTAGCACTGCAGCTCCTCCTCCTCGGCCCGCCGGGGGCCGCCCCCCGAGCTCTGCGCGCTGGCCTGCGCCGCGGAGCTGAGCACCTCCTCGAAGCTGCCTCCGCCGTGGGTCGTCCCGCCTACTTTCGTCTGAAACGGGTGCAGACGCAAAAGTGCAGTTAGTTCATTGTTTCGGTAATGTTTTTATAAGATAGCTTGGTTACTTTCAAGTTCAGGAATACTTTTATTCTTGAAAGAGGATATAAAGGATGCGGAGAAGTCAGGTCCCTTTAGCACTGTGCTAAGATGTCCTTCATACTTGGGCTCCGGGATTGGATTAAAAACTTCTGTTTTACAATTTTAGCAACACTCCCATTATCTCTTCTACATCTGATTCCTAGTCCCTTCGGGAGCATATCCGGATCTGTGGATCTGCACTCTCTACTCACTCACTCAAAGAACCGATTTAATCAGAACGGAACTGGATTTTAGATAAATTCCCCCAATTTTGCAAACGTATGAACGTCTTTAAGTGACTTCAGCTTAGGTTTTCTACTTGGCATTTAGCAAGGCAATCTGGATTTCTGACAAATGTCCTTTGAAAAGGCAGAGAGGCTCAACGGGATTTCTGGTCTCCGCTTTCCTAGCTGGAGCTGCATCAAGTCTGAAGCATTGGTCACTGCACATCTTTCTAGGCAGTTGCCTTTAAAGGACGAACACCTCTTAAAATGCAAAGTTATGATGCTTTACGAGGCTCCCTTTTTGTGTACTTGTTATTGGCTAATAAGACTAGAATCGGGAAGGGGTCGGCCCCGTGGCCGAGGGGTCGAGTGGTTAATTTCGGGAGCTCCACTGCAGGTGGCCCAGTGTTTCGTCAGTTCGAATCCTGGGTGCGGACAATGGCACTGCTCATCGAGCCACGCTGAGGCGGCGTCCCACATGCCACAACTAGAAGGACCCACAACGAAGAATATACAACTATGTACCGGGGGCCTTTGGGGAGAAAAAGGAAAAAATAAAATCTTAAAAGAAAAAAAGAATAGAATCAGGAAGAAATCAATTTATGATATAAGAAATACATATTTTGAAAACTTCCTTATTAAAAAGTCCTTCAAAAGAATATTTAATGGTCCAAAATGCATAATGCAAGTCTTATTAATGGTCATGTTGGCCTTCCTTTAACCATTAACAATATAGAACAACGCTTTGGGGAAAAGGAAGGTATAGAACAGATAACGTTGCTGTTCCCAAAATGCTGTCTCCATCTCAGTCACCAAGTCATCACTCACAAGAACAGAAACCACAGGAGGATGTGTCCACACCCTGCCTGGCCTGCACACACACTTTTCTCCAATTATCACTAAAATCCCTCTCTGCCTTTTTTTTAAGATTTTATTTTTTTCCTTTTTCTCCCCAAAGCCCCCCGGTACATAGGTGTATATTCTTCGTTGTGGGTCCTTCTAGTTGTGGCATGTGGGATGCCACCTCAGCGTGGTTTGATGAGCAGTGCCATGTCCGCGCCCAGGATCCGAACCGACGAAACTCTGGGCCGCCTGCAGCGGAGCGCATGAACTTAACCACTCGGCCCCGGGGCCAGCCCCCCCCCTCTGCCTTTTTAAGTTCAATTACTAAGCTGAATTTTTCCACTCTGCTTAGGCTCAGAAAACTCGTTCTGGAAAGTGACAGATAGTAAATATTTTAGGCTTAGGAACCACACAGTCTCTGTCACAAATACTCAAACCAGCCATTGTAGAAAGCAGCCAAGGACAGTACATAAGTGAATGAGCATGGCTGTGTTCCAAAAAGACTGTTATGTATGGACACTGAAATGTGAATTTGATGTAATTTTCACGTCACAAACAATTATTTTTCCTTTGATTTTTTTTTCAACCATTAAAAAATGTAAACACAATTCTTAGCTTATAGGCCATTCAAAAAGAGGCAAACAGCTGCATTTGACCCACAGGCCTTTGTCTGCAGACCTCTGGCTCAGAGCATCAAGTCCTGCTCCATTCTGTGTTACCTTAGCCCTGGGAAGAAGGGTTTGCTTTCAACTATGTGATTTTTCACTATGCTTATTTCATCCCAGAGAGAAACAGGATTAATTCAATGTAACCTATGCTATTAATAGTTCCCACTCTCTTTATTTTATTCCGATTTTCTTTTGCAATCGACGTCACACACAGTATTGAGTTAGGTGAATACTAATTACTGATATTTTCTTCTGGGCCTTGTTTCATTCTTCTCTCCTAGTTCTTGATTTTCTCAAATCAAAATGGGGAAATAAAGAAGGAGGGAATCTCTTTGAAATAAAGCAATTTGGCAAAGAGAGGAGTGGAATAAAGGAGTTTCTCCACCATGTGGGTGTCGTGACCACACACTGCAATACTTTGGGCCAGGACCTGCTCAAGCAAAGATGGGAACAACAAACCTCTCCCGGACTCTTCCCGTCGTGATGGCTTTTTCAGCCAAGGATTTGTCAATTTGTCCCCAAAATTATAACTGTTCTTTACATAAAATTTTATTTGAATTACTGAGTTGGGCTGCCTAATCTCATAAAATAGCTGGTTGAAAGGACACAAAGAAGCAATCGCTATAATATATTTTGCCTTTTTTTAAGGTTTTAATTCAGGCCATGCAATATATTCATCAAAAAGTAGGTGCATTGAAAATATGGTTTGCTTGACATGGTGCAGAACGGTTGGAAGCGAGATGGTTATTTGTGATTCACTGGAACACAGCAGAATATTCCAAATGTAGTTTCACAGGAGCTAAGTCTGGGTCTGCTTTTGGTTTGTTTGTTTTGGATGAAATAGAAAGTGTGCCCTTTGGGTGCACAGATGACACCAGCTCAGATGTCATCAAGTGATATAGTGACGTATTACAAGGATGAAGGCAGAAAGGACTAAATTTTGTATGATTATGATGAATTGGAAGGTTTTTCATGGAAAATCAAAACATCTACAGAATTGGGGATAAAGGAAGAACAAATAATTGGTGCAAATGCCACACGTTGTGTGACAGATTGTGTGAGATGGCAGAAATGGACCTCACTTCACGGCAGAACATTATTTCTAAGAGGACACAAAAATGAACCTGATCCCCTTTAAGTGGTGTATTAAAAATCAAGCTTAACGCAGGACGTGTGAAAGGAAATGCAGCACAGAGACCTGCAAGGAATTTCACCCATCCTTAGTGGTTCATTTCTTCAGCAGAAAACAGCCTCAGGATCCATACATGAAGAAAGTTATAGAAATTTTGGAGAAGATTTAGAACACAAAAGTAAACTATGCAGAAAATAAATTAGATAAAAAAAGGGCTAAACATCTATTATTTAGTCTGGAGAAAAAAGGAATGAGAAATTTCTAATTATTGAGGAAGTGGGAGGTTTTACACAAAGTACGATTATTAGCTATTCTCCATTGCCTGGGTGGGCAGAAAAAGAAGAATGAGGCATTGACCATGACATAGGAGGTGGGTGGGATATAAGTCTTGTTAAACCCATGAACAATCATGTAGACCCAGAATCTACTTTCAGGAGGTCTTGACACCAGCCAGTATCCAGTCGGCTGAGTTAGTTTTGAGCATGTCTGAAGGAGGAGGCAGACTCTAAACCTTCCGTCCCGATGGGGGGAATAAAGTGAGAAGCTGAGAGTAGGGACCAAGCCCTTAGGTCATCTGTGAGCTGTGAGCTTACCAGAGTTTCCTAAAAAGCAAATGAAAATAGGTTGTTCTTTATTCTTCTTTTGCTTCTTCATCTCTCCTTCTTCTAAAGAAAACCTAAAAGGTACAACTTCTCCTATGTCAGAACTTGTCTAACAAGCAACAGAATCCATCCTCTTTGGAATGTCTAAGGCTGAGAAGCAAATGTTGAGAAATGGACTCCTAGGATCTCCTGAGGCTTTTGCTTTGAGAATAGATATTCTAGCAAGAGAAAGGTCCAAAATACTGCATGGCCCTCTCTATCAAAAGTTTTCCCTACAAAAGGGGGCAACTTAGTGGTCCCTATTGGTCCCTATATTACTCAGTGAGTGATGATTCTGACAAGCAGGGTAGTGAAATTGCACAACTAGAAACTGCTGGTAAATGAAACCATGGTAAATGCTGAGTAATAATTTCATTCTTGCCTTAAACAACTAATCAAGGCCGAATAAAGCAGAAGTAGAGACTATGTGAAAGACCTTCCCCTAAGAGGAAGGAAAGACCCTCCAGGGCAAAATCAATAAGAGCTTCTAGAACCTCTAGGAAGGAGTCACTGATGTGCTCACAGACGCTCACTGGGCAGCACGGGGGAGAGCAGGATGGTGAGGGACGACTCACAAGAGGCTGGATAACCAGCATGTTCATATAGCTGCTTTTCATCTGGTTAAAATTCATATGTATTCTTAATCTTCCCAGGGATTAAGGGATTAAGATTAAGATTAGGGAAATACAGAAATGGACTGTATACAAAATAGGGATAATGATATCAAGATGTAATTAAGTCACTGTTTAAGGGACATCTTTAAAAAAATAAATTAGTAGTTTCAATGATTCTTCCCATTTTAAAAGGTCTATACATTCTAAGACTAGACTAATTTTATGTTTGCTCTTCTCTCCTCTGTAGATGAACCTGCCTCTGCTCAAACAATAAATTCAATGAATTCTTTTAGCACCTACCATGTAACGGGCATAGTTTCAGTTTATATACAGGGATTACATGCATTATTAAAAATAACGCATTTGGGGGCTGAGCTTTATTTTCCCTCCGTGATTACCATACTGCACTGTGCTCAGTATACATGTGAACCGAGTAAATGAGTCGAGGCAGCCGACGAGCAGCGGATGGCTATATAGCACATGGAGCCAAGTTCATGTTTGCTAGTGCACGTCCAAACCAGAGGAGCTTGGAGCTGTTCTTGAACTTTCACTTACACTTTAAATTCAGAATTCACATATCCTTCATCCTATCCGCAATCCTCTCTCCCATATCTACTTTTGGGGGGATGGCATTAGGAGTTCTAACCAGTGAAGAGGTGAATACAAACCTTAATTCACTTTAATGAACAATTCACCCTAAATGGTTTATACAAACAACTCTGTAAGGATACAGTAACACTATTCAATGCTGGTTTTATTTATAGATTTATATGTGAAGAAAAGGACTGACTCTATACAAGGCTGCCTTGTTGGTTGTACCGGCGGCTGGCAGCCCCACCTATGGAACTAACCACAGCAATGACTGAGCTGACCTGATTCAATGGACCCAATGACACAAAATTCACTTCATCTGTACCTTAAGGCTTGTGACAGTTGTCTCAACCCTCTCCTCAAATGATTTGAAAGTAGGAGAATTCCTAAAATAACAAAAAAAGAGAGGTCAGCTCCAAAGACCAAGCTGTCTTAGCAACCTTGCCATGTGGTTTTCTGCTCTTATTTGTGAGCATCAGCTCTGCACCAGAGCTGGATGTAGGTTTGCCACCTACACCGGCCATGTTTTGAAATACATGTCACTTCTGCTACGTTAGATCCAGAAACCATAACCTGCCACAGAATTTTTCTAAGTAAAGTAGTCAGATACTCAACTGTAGAATAAATAATATAGCATTTGACAATGATACAGCTCTAACAATTCCATGGTGAACCATAAATCATTTCCAATAAGTCAAAGGTAGTTTCATTTTTCATTTACTAATTAATTGTTTCTATCGCAACAACTCCTTTTCCCAACTCAGTTTTTTTGTAAGCAATGGAAAGTCTATCTGAAGAATATCATGTTTGAGTTTTCCCACTTGGAATTTTAAAAGTTAGTTATTTCAGTGAATGTGAGACAAGACAGAAATAGCTCAAGATAAAAAACGGTTCATAAGTTTTCTCTTTCCAGTGCCTTAAAAAGTAATCATTTTGTCAACTTCCATGAAGCAGTATTTCTAAAAGTCAATGCTTTCATTATAAGTTGAAATATACCCATTACTTGTCTAAGCCTTGATCAAGATGACATTATAAGCACATGCTGTTTTTCCTCTCAAAGAGGGTACACTTACTCATTCTCTTACCAGAGAGAACCTTCGCAGTTGACTGACATACTATTTGTGACTCATCCATCGTGTTAAATAATCATTATACCATCTTCTTACTTGAAGCATTAGACACTTCATTTGGTGCTTTTTTATTTCCTGTACTGAATTTGGCCACACGACATGATGATTTAATGTCATCATTACCATTAAAAATGATATCACAAAGTACAACTAAAGAACAGGAACTGAACTAAAAATGTATATTAAATCTTGTATCCATGTCAGCTTTCACTAACAACGACTGCCATGATTTTCAGGTCAAATAATTCACCTGGATGTTAGTATATTTGATATACTAATGGCTACTTGGTATCTCTCCAGAGTGCAGAAGAAATAAAATAAGAGGAATAGCCTAGAAAACTTCATAAGAGAGAGTGGCTATAAAATAGGGGCTTCATTGTATGGTGTGGGATGAAGCACGGCTCTAGCACTTTCCAGAGGAAACTATGTAGAGAATATGTTTTTGAGTGAATTTGACTTTCGTAAGGATTATCTCCTGAGACCCTGACGCTCCAGATGGTCAGAAAAGCATTTGCATTCAAGTATGTGAATTAACAACGGTGAGTTCAGAGGGCCCAACCACAGCATCACATCTTGCATATGACTCAAACATAAGTCAAATTCCTATAAGTAATCCTCCATCAGACCTCTGTTTCACGATGAAATATTAGTGAAATTACACTTGAATGACTCAAAAGTATACTCTTATTGACACCTGACTTCCACCACAAGTTTTATTTGGTCCACCCTGCTCACATAACTGGTGTCACCCATCAGTTACACAGGACCACAGCGGGCAAACAGTTCAGCTTCATGGTTCATGGGTATGCTAGATGAGGAAAATCATTTTTTTTAAGTTAATTGCAAGCAAGCTCATGAGGGCTGCATTTGATCCATAAGCCTAGATGGATTCATGGTTTACAGAGTACAACCATGTTAATTTTTTGGAAGCCTTGTTTGGACACCCAGACTTAAAAGTTAACAGTAAAAGAGCTCAGGGCCATACATTGTGCTACTCAATTTGGGTGTTTTTATGCTAGGGGGAGCAAGTCATTCAAAGACAGACTAAGCAATCCTGAATCTATGCTCTCTATTTTTACCACCAAATTAGGGAAATCAAATGCCATGGTTAAATTTCCAAAGTAACCAAATAACCCCAGTGTAGAAAAGACATCACCAGATATAATAAAACAGATAGAAAATCTCCAGAATGTGTGCCGGAGAACAGGGAGAAAATGTTTACTCAGATTTAATCATATCTTTTACAACTACACACAGTTTGCAGTTGCAAATGACCCTAGAAAGAATTTGGCTTCAGCGGTCTCAAACTATTCAGAGTAACTGAACCCGAGCTATAACGTATTTACACCACAATATATAACAGAAAGCAGGCGGAAGAGGGGCAGTTCTGACTGAAGGAGGGGAGGGTCCCAGAGGCTTCATCCCTGCCCCCCGCCCCCTCCTCCCTTGCAGCCCAAGGCAGCTCTAGGGTTCCTGGGAGCACCAAGGGAAGAGCAGGAAATCTGGTTCTAGACTCTTATTTTAAACGTGATCTAACTTATTATCACTGAGGTGACTTTCCCAAGGCTGCAAAGTTCATTCTTGGCAGAAGTGGGCTACAATGCATCTGCTGATTCCCAGTCTAACATTCTTTCCTCTATACTGTATTACAGTGAGTGGGATTTTATTAGATTGTGTCTCTAAACCATGCAAACTGGAAGTGGGGAGCATCCTTCTCAGAAGTTCTCATCCGGCCAGTAATTTTAATGACATTCTTACTGTATAACAGATACTTCACCTTAATATCTACTTTTAAAAATCCTAATGATATCCTTTCTTGAACCATATTCCTCTTAGTCTCCTATCCTTTCATCTAAATTTTCTCCCAGGCTTGCATTTAATTCTGCTGAAATAGGAAACATATTTTTACCTTTGCAAGTTTGCTCGGAATCTTCCAGGCCCTGTGCTAAGTGCTTTACACAGGTTACTTTGTCTCACAACAACCACATGAGGCAGGTCTTATTTCTCCCAGCGTACGGATAAGAGAATGGAGGTTGAGATGGGTGAAGTAACTTGTCTCAGGTCATACAGATCAGGAGAGGCTGGGTTTAAGCTGGCGTGTCTGGTCAAAAGCCCAAGCTCATTATACCTACAACACTTCTACAGAATTGTCAGCCTTTTCTCCTGAAGACCATCAGAAAAGAGAATACGACAGGTCATGGAAGTTCCTTACATATAAAGGGGGAAAACCCTACAAAATAAATATCAATAAAGTAACACTTCATACACATTCTGCATTAATATTATGTAAAGTATTTTACACACATTACCTCATAGCAGGCATACTTATGGAATGGCGAATGGAGTAGCTTCAGGGCAAAGGCAGATTAAAGTGGAAAAAAAGAAAGAAAAAAGAAGATAGCACAATGTAAGTACGAGACACTCCCTATTCACAGTTCTAAAACAGCAATTTCAACTACCTGAAGTACTCCCTGCCCACCCCAAGATGATATTTGTTTTCGTTGGGTAGGATGGGCCCCGGTGGCTTCCAGGGGTAATAAAAGGAGAGTAGATAGTCCATAGGTGCATATTATTTTACTTCCTGTAGGTTCTCTGTAGGCCAGGCAATCTGAGGAGAATGTCTGGTTTCCCCCAGGTCAGCCCGGTGGCCCCTGGGCATCCTCTCCAGGTCCAGCTCCCTTCTGTTCAGGACGACAGGAAGGGCAGTGTCCAGGCAGTAGAGCCAGGCAGGTAAAAGCTAAACATTCCATTGTGGAGAAACTCTCCAGAGAAATATACATACTTAACGTAAGACAGTCAAGGAAACACGTGTCAGGCAAACACAGTCAACACAGGAGCAGGGACTTCTGCATTCATTCCAGAACATCTGGTACAAATACCACCATTTCCGAGAACTCTAAGAGCGTCAGCCTTCTCATCCTATTAATCCTAGAGTAGCTGACTCATCTTCCCTCTGATTGATTGCCTGTTATTTTCTGTGAGTTCCACTCAGAAATCAGGCTGGGTGAAGCAAAATGGGGTCCATTCTGCTAAGCTGGTGCTCCCCCATCACACTTTCCAACACTGTTCCTGCTTTCTCTTCTCCCAAGAAGCTAACAGGTAAGGCATCAAACGCATCACCCTCCCCAACAATATCCCCTGAGGTCATAAGTAGGAGCAGCACTTTACTAGAACTCAGAAAGAAAAGGACAGAGAAATTCAGGGGACACTTATGGTCTTACCCTCCAACTCCATTTAGAAACTGTAGGTAAAATATTTCCTCAGAAATTACATTAAAAGAAATTCGTCAGCATTATCAACCTATTCATCTCTTTAAATATAGGCAGTTTTCTTAAGAAAAAAATTTCCCCAAAACAAAGTATATAATAAGATTCCAGCTAAAAGAAAGCTCCATTCAGAGGCCTGGGACTGACAAGTGCACACTTCCCAACATACGTGCTCTTCCAGTACCCTTCCTCCTTTTCAACTTCAGAAGGGACAGGAAGCTGAAGGTGATTCATCCACACGGGTAACCATTACAAGCAGTTCAGAAAAACACGACAGTCTAGAGAAAATAATTTTCTATTCTTCTACTTTACTTTCTAAAGTTCCATAAACATACACAACTCTCAGTGTCCACTTCCTTTTTTTCTTCTTTCAAAGCTAAGGACCTCTGCCAATGAAGGAAGGAATGATGCAGAGAAAGAGATTCCTAAGAGATTGCTCAGCAAGTGAAACTGGTGTATATGATTCAGAAATGAGATCAATCTATGCTTAAATAAATTCAAATGCATCAGGCGCCCTATACTCTGTAACTCCTTGGTCATGAACACTCTCGGGAAAATAGATCGAGGTTTTTGGCGGAGGCACCCACAGTGTGAAAGGAACAGCGGGCTCTGGGGAGGAAGGAGCAGCAAGGAAGCCGCAGGGCCCCACAGGCAGCGCTTACCCGATGGAGTGAGACCTGCAGCCAGGGCAGCACATGAGAGAACAGGAGCAGAGTTAGCACATCAGGATGCCAAGAAACGACCGCGCTGCCTCTCGTCTCCTTTCAAGAGCCCCAAAGCAAAGATTAGGCAACTCCATTCATTACCTTTTTTTGAGTACGTGGCTTTTTAAATATGTCTTAACAATTTCTTTACCAACCTGTTTTAAGTTGTGCTTCTATTATTCTCATGGATATATAGAGACAGTTGGACTCTAATAAAATTATATGCCTCCCCCAAAGATTTCATCTCCACTAGATCACACGCAGCTTGAACAAATTCACTGAGAAGTGCCAAGAAGATGCCAATATTATTATAAACACGATTTCAACAGCTTGCATTTCTTCAGAGGGCTTTCATAAATGTGACCTCATCTTAACTTCACAGGAAGCATTTTAGTTAGGTGGCTATTAACAGTGTCATTTCACAGATGGAGGAGGGGATGGAGCGGTTCCGTGACTGCACTGAGGGGACTTCACTCAGTGGCAATCAGGATAAAATGAGAATCTTAGCTAGGGAAATATTACTTATTTTTATCAAATATTTAAATTAAATCCTAACACAGTGCTTTTCATTCAGTTACTAAAAGGACCAAATTCTAGGTTTTCAAAATCTCTAAGTTATACTAACTTGGAATTATTTTAAAGAAAAACTAGAGGTACTGTTTTTCTTCCCAGGTATCTAAATTTTGGTGGCAATCTTTTTTAAACAAGTTCAAAAATTTGTTCCCAGAAAGTACAAAAGAATTTTACAGTGTAACTAACAAACATATAGAGTAATATGATACTTTTAAACCATAAAAGGGGTTCAAGGTCAAATGTCTGTGATAAAGTTTTAAAATTTCCCCACTATCATTTCATAAACTGGCAAATTAATTTGAATGAAAAATAAAAACTTACTAATTCTCCTCCTTTAAGAATCTTTACTATATTTAACATAAGCAATTTTCAAATATGACTTTTACGTATATTGCTTGTTCTTGCATAATTTAAAACTAAAAATTCTTTGTAAAACATTGCTTTCACAGGGACTTATCCTCATTTATATACAAACATTAGATGTTATACTTTGAGAAAAATGTAGGTCTGAATTTTGCAAACTCTACAAAATATTACAGGGCCATATTTGAGTCTCTAGTGACAAGCTACATTTTCTAATATTTTTTTAGCCACAGTTTATAATGAGAGTTGTAGCCTCTATACAGAATGATAATTAATGAAAAGTTTGGAACGCCTGGGAAATGGGTTATCCATTATGCTGAAACAGAGCCACACTGAAATAGGAGGAAAAGAAGTCAACACAACCTTGATATTATACCCAATTAATGTGTGCACATAAATATGTCAACATATCGCACATGCGAAACACAGTTTTGTTCTTTTCTACTTAGAAAAATAAGCAGAGCCTTTATGAAATACTGTGCGCTCCTGGCAATGGACTCTCCCTGATTTCCATCAGGTCGGGCCACCTTGTCTGAGGCAGTCACTTAGTAAAGATAAAAACTAGCATTTATTGAGTGCTTAATACACGTCAGGCTCTTTTCTGCTACTTTTATAATAACCCGATGACGCTGCTACTCTTCTCATTTTCTAACTGGGAACACTCCGGTACAAGCGAGCTAAGGTACATCTGGCCTCCTCATAACCCGACTACTTGATCACCTGAGAGCGTGTTACAAATGCACATCCTGGACTCCACCCAAGACCCACGGAGGCACCATCTTGGAGAGGTGGAATCTGGGAATATGTATTTTAAACAAGCTTCAGAGGCATTTGTAAGGCCCCCTAAAGATGGAGAAACACTATTCTAGTGTTATGCTGAGGTCCCAGTATTCAAGTGAAAGATTTCAACTATGTATGTGGAGAATAAATCTTATAAACATGGCAAAATATACTTTCTCGGATATAACAGGTAATAGGGTATTTCCTGTTTTAAGGAATTATTTAATTAGTTTAGATAAATGTTTTAATGCCATTGAAATGATAGCAAAATTTAATTTGTAATCAAATGAAAGTTAATTGGTAACCCAGAATGTTTACCTGTTCATCACAGGTGGCCTCTGAAGAATTTCAATTGCTTTTCGTTACTGCATTATTAGTAAATATGAAGATAAAACCAAGTACTCAGATTCATGCGCATGCACCTACTTAACTCCAGCCTCATGAATGCCAAGTTGTTAAGTTGGTGCACGAATACTGGGTACAATCCAGCAATTTTTGGAGCCAAAAAATAACTTAAACACAAAGATATAAATATTTGCCTCTAGGTATCAAAAGTGTGGGTAATAAAGAAAGTAATAGTTTAAGAATCCAGTGAAATAATATGCATGTATTTTTTTAAAGGAAGACATTTTAAATGTACTCCAAAAGATTTTAAGAAATGAACTCAATTTCTAGAGAGAAAAATGAAATTGATTTATAAAGAAAAATCTCCTAAGCATATCAGCCAAATTCAAGATAAGCTATGATAGTTATTTAAATAAGCAAAACATATGATTGTAACAACTCTAAATAAAATAACTTCCTAAACATAATACAAAAAATAGAAATGGCCAATACTTCATTGTTTTTCTGATGCCTATGGTGAGGACACTTGGTTCTCAGTTCAAAATCTTGATGTTTACCCTAATTTCATATAATAGTAAAATACTGAAAATAATCAAAATGTGCAAGGGGACTTGTTTAAAAGTTTTGCTACAGCTATGCACTGGAAGATAATACAGCCATTAAAAATGAAGGTGTAATAAACATTTATTAACTTATTCACAATATATTGCTAAAGTGAAGAAAGAAAATTAACAGAAGTATATACCATATGGTACTTTTTTGGAATGAGAGAATAAATATGTATGTATTTAGCATAGAAAAATATATATTAGATGGATGTATACAAAAACGTAACCTAGAATAGTTCATCAGAGCATATTCCACTGAATGCATATTTTAACTTATTGTTTAAATTACAGTGATAAAACTTCAATGTATGCTGCATTCTTTTGAAATTCCCCTTTTACTAGCAATTGAAGGCACCCTCTGTCTTCTGTTTTTACTAGGTCAGGTCCTAGTGGAAGGGCATCTTCCGGACCAGGCCAACTAAGCTGACCTTCAGGCAGAAGACATCTCCATATAAAGATTTATCTCAATCACCAACCACTATCAACCACATAAAATTTTAATCCAATTTAAAAAAAAGAATACGTTAGGAAGACCGCCGACAGATAATGCTCCCCTCCTCTGGGACAGCCCAGCGCTCAGCACCACTCCCCTGGTTCTTTCCCACAGTACCTCATGTCTCCAAACTTCTTGCTGATGGCCGTCCCAACGTTGCTGAAGGCTGCAGTCGCCTTCTGCCCTGCGTGACTCAGGGTTTCGTGTGTTTTCTTGTAGCTAGAGGTAAAATAGAACAACAGTAACACAGTTTATATATCGCGATTGCCTATAAAACGTTCATCATCCTTCTCCCTCCTTACTTTGAAAGTTCCCTTTCCAAAACAGATTTAGGAAGAAGATGACCAGCAGGAGTCATTGTTTTATTCATTGTTTGGCAGTAATGAGTTGGCTACCACTCAATCGAGGGAAAGTCAGATCATTAAATCTGAATTCAGGAAAAAAAAAAAAATATATATATATATATATACACACACACATACAAGTACAGATGTAAATATGCCAGCTTTTTAATCACAAATAGTGGAACTGCTCTGAGAAGAGAGTTATTCTTAAGAAGTGTATTAACTACGAAGAGAGACTTGCCAATGAAAGCTCTAGCCATGAAAGGTAACACAGAAACTAGAAAATGTAAATTTCAAAGGGAAATTTAAGCTTCTACTGTTAATGTGGGTAAAATTAACCAGAAAAGGGCAAAATATAACTAGAAATTGACTTATTTTTCTAATACTTATAGCTGGGAACAAGAAGGGCACATAATCTGAAGATAAGATAGTGACTTTTTTCAAAACAGTTGTAGGAATACAGCACTGCAACTATCTGTTCATAAGCCCTTGTCCCTACTAGCCTGATCCTTGAGGACAAGAAGCCATTCATCTTTGTGCGCCCAGTGTCTGGCAGAGGGAGACAGGAGACAGGAGACACTAGCAGTAAATACTAGACGAATGAGCGGATGATCAAAGAGGACGCTCCCCTGTGGCTCTGAACTGGGAGTCATGGCAGTAAGTCAGACAGAAGTGGGTGGATTGGAGATAGAATGGACAGAGTTGACAGGAGCTTGTAAGTGACAAGTAGAACAAGCCAAAAAGATTGGCCAGCCGTTTTGAGCAGGAAAGACAGTGGTGTATCCATGGGGCTGAGGAATTTCTAAGAATTCTTTAATAAAGTGGGAAACCAAAGGCACCTAACATACGGGAATAGGAAGAAATCAGCAGAAAGTTTTGCCTATCATTTCACAATGCACGTGAGCCAGGCCATTACGCTGTGCGCCTTAAATTTACACAGTGCTGCATGTCAATTATATCTCAGTAAAACTGAAAAAAAAAAATCCAAACAGAAAATGTTCTGTACAGATTTTTAAAAAATGAACTACTTCTTATAATACACATACTGTCTTCTTCTAATGTATGCTGCTCCTAGGTCAGTTCCCCCAAAGCTGCCTGCTTCGTCCAGAACACGTGCACGTATGTGGTACCTCTGAGAAGACTTTATGTCATAAGAAATCGGTTGCGTAGGAAATTCCCTTATGCCTCCAGCCCTTCCATCTCCCACAAGTCATCCAGTCCCAAATATACCATCAGACTCTACGGAAATGCTTTAAAACATGCCCCTTGGTCTTCCTTGAAACTGAAATCACTTTATTAACATGGTATTCTATTATTCTCTTTTTTGTTGGCAGGACGGAATGAGCCTCTAATATTATCAGCATCATACGTTATTTATCTACACACTTTCTGTTTTTCAGGAAGTGTAAAAATCATATATTATTTAGATCATAAAACCCAGCCAAATAGTCATTTACTAAACAGACATTTCCCAGCGAATATGGAAGGACCAAGGGGGTCCAAGGGTCAAAGAAGAATCTGGTGACTAGGAGGTAACTTGTGACTCTGGAGAGTGTTGTGTGAGCAGAATGGGGAAGGTGGACCCAGGTGGCTCCGGGTCAAGCAGCAATGAGAGGTGAGAAGATGGAAGAAAGGAACAGCTTTTAGGATGTTTGCCTAATTTTGTTTTCTGCAAAGGTACAAAAATATTGGCTTATTCAAATTACAAATTTATTTTTACATTTTACCATATAATTTTAGGTTTTAATTATGGGAAAAACCATTTTTGACCATGTGAAACTGTGGACTTTCAGGCAGTTGAAACATGAAATAAAATATTAATATATAACTTGCTATTAGTGATAAGGCAGTTAAAATAGTACTAAATAGGTGCCAGCCCCATGGCCGAGTGGTTAAGTTCCCACGCTCTGCTTCAGAGGCCCAGGGTCTCACTGGTTCGGATCCTGGGTGCAGACCTGGCACCGCTCATCATGCCATGCTGAAGCGGTGTCCCACACAGCACAACTAGAAGGACCTACAACTAGAATATACAGCTGCAGGAAAAGAAGAGAAAAAAAACGATTGGCAACAGATGTTAGCTCAGGTGCCAATCTTAAAAAAAAAAAAAAATAGTACAACACATTAAAGACCAGAAATAAAAACATCAGTCATTATTACAAGATTTTAACGAGGTGTGATCTTGGAATGGCACATGCTGAGAATTCAGAAGAAACCATCTACTAAACAGGTTCCCACAGCAGTGTCCTGAACACTTGGATTAACTCGGCTTAGAAATAGTATTTAAAAGTGGGATTTAAATGTAGTGGTTTTAGCCTTAAAAACAAAAGAATTTATTTACACATGAAGAAAAAATCTGGAATTCCTATTCCAGGTATACTTTCAGGATACTGACAAAGTTTTCACAAAGTTGTAATTGGGCCATGAAATCAGATCTACAAAAAATGCATTAAAAAACTGGAATCCAGACATGACGGAAGTGAGGAAAGCACAGAATCATATGCAGATGAAACATTTCTTGCACTATGGACCGGGACTCTTTCTACTCACATTACAATTCTGAAAAGTCTCAAGAAAAACTTTCTTCTTTTTTTTTTGAGGAAGATTAGCCCTGAGCTAACTACTGCCAGTCCTCCTCTTTTTGCTGAGGAAGCCTGGCCCTGAGCTAACATCCATGCCCAACTTCCTCTACTTTATATGTGGGATGCCTACCACAGCATGGCTTTTGCCAAGTGGTGCCACGTCCGCACCCAGGATCCAAACCGGGGAACCCTGGGCCAAGAAGTGGAAGGTGTGAACTTAACCACTGCACCACTTGGCCGGCCCCAAGAAAAACTTTTACTATGCAAAAGTTTCTCATGTAAATTGATGAGATTGGTATATATTCTCATGTATATACTCATGTATATAGAGTAATCTATAAATGCCCAAAATAGGCCACTGAGTACCATCTCTGCCCCTTCTGTTCCTCTCACCCACCATATCCAATCCATCGAGAGACCCTGTTGGTTCAACCTTCAAAACACAGCTAGAATCTGTCGACTGTCTCACCACTTCCACTGCCCTCCAGTTAGGTCAATCCACCATCATCACTCACCCGGGCTATTGCAACAGGCTCCTCACTAGTCTCCCACTTCTACCCTTATCTCTACATCCCCCTCCCACACAACTGGCAGAGGACTCCATTAAAACAGTCAGAGCACGTCACTCCTCTGTCACTGGCTCCTCATTCCCCTCAGAGTAACAGCCGAAGTCCATACCCCAGGCCTTGTGATGAGCCTGCACAAGCGGGGCCCCAGCCCTTCCCTCACCTTCTCTTCCTACTCACTCCCTCTGCTCCAGCCACCCTGACCTCCTCCGCACTGTTCCTCCCACATGCCAGGCTCCATCCTGCCTCAGCACCTCAGCTCTAGCTGTTCAGCTATGTGATGCCGCCAAAATGGCAAGAAAAAGGGTTTTTTTGTTTTTTTTGTATTGTAAATACCCCACTTTGAAGAATTAAACAGACCTGAGCCTGCACCCTTAGGAAGACTTAACAGCCGCCTCTCTCTGTTCAATCAGGGCTGGACGTCTCTGCGGCCTTGGCCAGGTGGATGTCAGCAGAATAGAGTTCTGGGAGAAAGGGGCAATGGGGATAGAAAGGGGAATGGAGGAAGGCGGAGGGAAGAAGTCTGCTGGGCATCGACTGGCACTGACACTGGGAGGCCTGAAAGGCGACTCAGGGGGAGTGAAGAGAAACCTGCCACACCTGTGGCCTCCGTGTGAGGTGGGAGTGGGTGCCGGCTGGAGAATTCCTTCCCGTGTTGGTCCTGCAGCTCTTCAGGAACCTCTTGCAATTAGATCAAATATTTCTTTTTCTTGTAAACCGCTCCAGTGTACTTTAACTTTATATATTGGAGAACGCTTTGAATTTTGAGATGAGGTGACTTTTGAACACTTTCTTGTGCATGTGTCACATTCCGAGTTCCATGGCTTAATCCAAAAATAGCTAGAGAACACCATGTAGTCTGCACGGAAATCGAGATATAACGATGTACACCTGAAATTTATACAATGTTATAAATCGGTGTTACCTCAATAAAAAAACAGTTAGCTAGAGAGAAGTACTAAGTGGGAGCTACCTTGTGCTTAAAGCCACTGCTAAACCAAAATGTGAGCTGGGTGTAGACAGGCGTCTGACTACTTTAGCGAGCTATCATTGACATTTATGTCCTCACCAGGAACAATGCAACTCTCTATCTGTGTGAAATTTCAAAGTTAAAATTCAACCGTATGGAAAGCTCAATGGAGTGTTAAAGAGGGATTTTTAGGACTGTCAACTCTTTATTTGAGAATTATATAACGTTAAATCTGAAAGGCACTGGAGCCCAATCCTTTCAGGTGACAGATGATGAACCTGAGGCCCAGAAGAGCTGTGTGATTCTTTAATGACAGAGGGAGGGTTAGGGTACTGTACCTGACTTCCATCGGAAGTCTTGTCGCCTCGGAGATGACTGACAGTTGAGGGTGCGTTAGGTCAGCTGTCTCTAGCTCCAGTGTTTTGTGGAGAGAAATTGTAATACCATATTTCAAGAATTCTAAGACGCCCATTTTTTCCCCACATTCTTACACCTCTTCCCTAGACTAACCATCCCATTTCTTGAAAACAACTAGCAGTCATGCTACATAGATTCTGCAGAGACCAACAATGGAGGGAAAGAGATTTTGAGGGGGCAGATAATGAGAGAGGGTTATACATAAGCAAGTGACTTCCAAGAACAAAGTAACCAGGGACCTCACTGGGCTCAGAGCATTTGAAAGCTCCACATCATAGTCTAAGTGAAGGGTCCCTCTGGAGTTGTGCACCACACAGACTCTGTAACCTTATGCTGCATCCTA